AATTGAACTGAATCAAACGGTCAAACTGTTGACTGAAATTATTAATGGCTCGGTTTGACAAAAAAAAAAACAAAAGAAAATTATTTTCATGATTGAGTCTGATTAGATCAGAATTGAGCTGAAAGCTAGAGTTAAATTGGGAACCGGAATACTTTTTAAAAAATTAAATAGTTTTAAATATGATATTAGAAAAAAGCTTAAACATTTAAAAAATAGAAAAATTTAAAAACTAGATTCTATTAAAAGTCAACTTTATTTTTGAATAATTCACTTACATAAAATATGATTTGAGATTATTTTTTTATAAAGATATTGACAATTATAAATATAAATATAGATATTTTTGAATTTATTCATACCTAATTTAATAAAGATTCATTTATATTTGACAAATTATAAAATTATAATTTATAATATTATTAATTTACGGTCATGTTATGTCATTTTATTAACATATTATATTTTTGTCTTGTATTTATTTTATACATACATGTAATATTATTTTTATTTAATTATTACATCATCAATTCGACCACATGCTTGGGTAATAGCCATTTCTCTACTCATACATAAGAATAAGAACCTTTATACCTTGTTTGGTATGATAGAATTGAAACTGAAAAAGTGGAGGTGAAATTGGAAAAATGAAGTGTTTGGTATATTGAAATTTGTTATTTTGAAAACTCACATCCATCAAAATTGATGGAATTGACTTCTCATGGAATTGGTTCGTGAGCATTTTTGATATTTTCATATTATAATATGTATTTTAATTAAAAATTGAGAGAATCACATTTAATGACCATTTGAGCAAATTATTCGCATGTAAAAACTAATAATAAGTTCAATTAAAAAAAAAAAGTCATGTTTCTATTTTAATAATAATTCATTCCATATTGATCTTTATTTATGAATAATTTATTTGAGTAGTAATTGAATGTGACTCTCTCTTAGAAATTATATCTTACTTTCATGTATTTACCAAGCATGCTTTAAAACTTCATTTTCACCTCACTTTTTCTTCTTTCTTCATTTCTATAAAAAACTCCCCTATACTACCAAATGGGTCAATATGGAAACTTTGGCGAGAGGAAATGAGGCTTATGGGCGTGTCAATTTTTGTTCTTTGTACTGAAACTGTTGGTTCCTCAACTTTTAGTATATTTTGAAATTAATTTTTATATTTTTTATTCTTTCAAGTCCTTTTAAGTTTTTATCTATTTGTGATGTTTTGGAATTATTTTGTATGTTAACTTGTTAAAATTTTGATAAGTTGTATAAAATTGAGTAAAAGATTAAAAAATGTAAAACATTAAATTAGAATTTTTAAACGTGGGATCGATAAGATGAATAGTTAGGATAGATAAGTAGAAAAGTCACTTTCGGACTTAACTTGGTTAGTGACAATCAGCGCTGACATTGCAAATTGATTAAATTTAAAGGAATTGGAGCAATGCCAAAAAAACTTTAGAAATTAATATTAAAACATGCTAAAATTATATGATGAGCAATTGTATTTTCTTTTTTTGGACCTACTATATATTTTCTTGTTTCCATGACCAAGTCTCCGAGGAATTAGTCTCTTTCTGAACATCAATTTCAATAGTTCGATACTTCAATTACTCTTTACTTTAGGAATGCAATGAGTGATTTAAAATTTTTAAGGGCAAGCTCGAGATCCTGTTATGCAATGTTCTGTTCAATGGAGAGAAGGGTGAAATTTTAATGATTCATTATATGGTTTAATTGGAGGGGAAGATGAGAAGTTTCAATAATTATTTGAAGGGAGGGGATATATTTCAATGATTTCTTGTTTGGTTTAGGAGTGGCAATTGATTAAAAATTAATTATTTAATTCTTATGAAATATAAATTATGTTCATTTTTATGTTCTTTTTATTTATTAGGAAAAAAGTTATAATACAACCTATCAATTATCACCATACACTAAGATTTAATTTTACTTTATTCTTTTGTAAAAGATACAACGGACGCGAGCAGTGGGAGAGATGGAGGATTAGGGCATAACATTTAGATGGGGTAGAAGAGGAATTTTAAAATTTGTATAACACTAATTATGTTAACATAAAATTCAAGGAGAATTTTAGTTAAGGACCACTATAGAGAATTAATTTCATGTGAGTTCAAAAGAATTTTGACATTTTAATTTCATTTTAAGAGAAAAAAGTCAAAAGAATTTTAATAGTGAAAAGATAAAAATACCTTTAACTTATTATGCAGAATCATTAGTTGTTAATTTTTTTATTTTACTTGTTAATTTACAAATATGAGTTACAAATTACATGAGTTGACATGTCAATAATTTTATAAGACTTGGTATCAATTTTTCAATCATAAATAGCAGCATCAATTGTTAAATTGTTAACTTTACTTATTAATTTACTAACATCAGTTGTAAATTACTGACAAATTTTGTAATTTACTAATATTAATTATAAATAACTGACATGTCTTGTAATTTACGATTGATATTTGTAAATTAACAAGTAAAGTTAGCAAATCAATAGATAATGTTAATAATTGTCTAACCAACGGATGTAATTTACAAGCGATATTGGTAAATTAATTAGTGCAATAAGAAAATTAACAACTAGTGATTCTGCATAACAATTGAAGGTATTTTGATCTTTTTACCATCGAAATGTTTTTGACTTTTTTTTTTGGACTGAACTGAAATGTTATAATTTTTTCTAACCCACCTAAAATTAATTTTCTATAGTGATCCTTAACTAAACTTTTCCCTAAAATTTATCTTCAATATCTCACCCTAAAAAATCATGCTTTTGGAGGGGAGAGACTGAAGCCTAGAGGCTAAAAGTTTTTAGAAATAAATGAGGGGAGGTGAGCCTTAAAAACTTTTTGGACCAAACAACATTAATGATAAAAAAGTTCTAAATCTACAAATTAAAAAATAAATTATGAATATATCATACTTGAAATGTGTCTAACTAAATGACTTGAGTTATTTTAATAAAATAGACCATTTTTAAACATACTTAATAAAAAGAATTTAACATGATATCAAGAGTTATTTGATGGGGCAAAAAAAAAAAAAGGAAATAATGAAAGATGATGAAAACAAACTAAGAGACTAAAAAGAAAGAAAAAAGAAGAAAAATAAAAATTAAATAGACCTGAAACTTTTGCAACAAAAAAAGTACAAGATCGGGCAATAAGAAGAAAAAAGAAAAATGAAGAAAAAAATAGTAGATAAAACATTAAAAATAAAAAGAAGTCCCTCTTTCAAAAACTAGAAGATATGTCATGAATATATAGAACTTGGGATATATTTAATCAAATAGTTTAGTTTATTTTAATGAAATAAACTATTCTT